AAGACATACTTAGATTTCAATTCTTTCAATTTTCCTTCCTTCCTTCCTATTTCATGTTCATTTTCCTTCCCTTCCTTGTCTTCTTTTTAAAAAAAATTCTGTCCCTCCCTTATAAGCTCATTAATTATAAATGATTTTATTCTTCCTTCACCACTTACAACACACTTCCTTAATGAGTTATCTCAAAATATTTAAATCTCATTTACCCCAGACTCCTTTCATGTACTAGCATGTATTTCAATTCTTAATACATCTTAAACAACACAATACATTACTGTTTTATACAGTAAAAATTCCTCCAGATTGACCTATGTGTTTTCCCTTTCTAAGGCTCTACATTCCTCACTGCACTGCCAAATTTCCATACCATGACATTTTTCTTTGGCTGAAAAAAACACAATTTAGCTTTTCGTTTACTGGGTGCTATCATCTGAATGTCAAGGTCCCATAAAATTCATGTTGGGACCTAATAATCAATGTGATTGTATTAAGAGGCAAGGCTTTTGGGAAGTGATTAAGTCATAAGGGCTCGGGGCCTGTGCTGTGACATAGTGGGTTAAAGCCCTGGCCTAAAGCGTCGGCATCCCATATGGGTGCCAGTTCTAGTTCCGGCTGCTCTACTTCCAATTCAGCTCTCTGCTATGGCCTGGGATAGCAGTAGAGGATGGCCCAAGTCCTTGGGCCCCTGCACCTGAGTGGGAGACCTGGAAAAAGCTCCTGGCTCCTGGCTTTGGATCGGTGCAGCTCTGGCCATTGCGGCCATCTGGAGAGTGAACCAGTGGATGGAAGACCTTGCTCTCTGTCTCTACCTCTCTCTGTAATTTTCAGATAAAAACAAAATAAAAATCTGTAAAATAAAAAAATTCATAAGGGCTCAACACTCATGAATGGCATTATAAGCAGCTGGAGGAAGCTTTCTTGCCACTTGCCATGTGAGCACACATAGAAGGTGCCATCTAAGAGGAACAGGAACTTATCAGATACTGAATCTGCTAGGGCATTGATCCTAGACTTCGCAGGCTCCAGAACTATGAATAATAAAGTTCTGTTATTTACAAATTACCCAGTCCAAGGTATTTTATTATGGCAGCCTGAACTGACTAAGACAATGGGTCTTGACTTGTAATAATTTCTGCATTTTTGTCTTTGCTTTCATATCTCACCTTCATTTCTTAAGAACACTCGTATTTTTGCTGGATTTTGAACTCAAGGCAGAAATTATTTTCTTTAAGCACTTTAAAATTTTCATGACATTGCATTCTGACGTACTTTGCTTTCATTGAGAAATTAGCTGAAAGTCTTAGTACTTTAGTACTATTCTCTTTAAGATTATCTATCTATCTATCTATCTATCTATCTTTTGCTCTGGCTACTTTAACATTTTTCTATCTTCAGATGCCAGGATATGTTTATGTGTGGTTTTCTGTATATTGATCTTGTCTAGGGATCATAATGTTTCCTGAATCTGTAGCTTGATATTACCCATCAATTTGGGAAAACCTCCTCTCATTATCTGTCAAATATTATTTATACCTCATTCTCTCTCCTTTCCTTCTGGAACACCAATTACAGAAATGTCATACCTTCTCATCCATCCCATATTTCTCTTACATTCTTTCCTATGTTTTATACACCTTTTTTCTCTGTGCCTTAGTCTGGATATTTACTTGTGATCTCTCAGTTCATTAATTTATCTTTAGCTATGTGTACACTGATGTAAAACTCGTCAACTGAGTTCTTAATACAATTACAGAATTTCCATTTTTAAATTAATTTCCAATTCTTTGTCAATATTATCAATCTTGTCAATTAATTCTTCGAACACTTTAATTTTGGTTATTTTAATGTCTGGATAACACTAATATCTGGATTTCCTATGAGTCTGTTTCTAACGTTACTTGTTTGTATTGATTTTTAGCCCTTCATAGTACCAATCCCAAACCCACTGTTTGACCAATACTCATCCCCATTCTTGGCAGCCTCTGACTCTACCTTTTGCCTCCTTACCTTTGCCTCCCTACCTGTGATAAAGTGCTGCCTAGCTACTCTGATACTCTTTTCAGAACCTCCGGATATCTTCAGAGAGTAAGTAACACCAAATGCCAGGCTTAACTCTGGGCTTTCCTTCTCTCCTTGATCTTGGTCCCACAGTTCTTCACTATCTTGGTAGCCTTCAAGACCTTCAGTATTTTTTTTAAGCAGTTCTCAATAGACTGTTGTGTTTGAGAGACCCCTTTCCACCATTATGGGATACCAAACTCCTTTATAATCAGTTTATCCCAAGCTGCACAGGTTTATCAAGTCTACACTATGCTTCATGACTTTCAGTATGCTCTATAACCTTACTAAACCCTATCTATTCAAATTACAAAACAGGCTTTCAGATTGGAGAGTGTTTATGTTCAAATTGTGGCCTTACCTCTACTTATAGCTACATGAAATTAGACAAGTTACACAGATTTTCCATAATTCATTTTTATAGTAAGTCTAAATGGGGTAGACATTTGGTATAATGCTTAAGACACCACATGGGACCATCTGTGTTGCCCTAAGTTTATCAGAGTGCCGGGTTAGGGTCCCTGCTCCACTCCAATTCCAGCTTCCTGAATTGCACACGCTAGGAGGCAGCTGGTGACAATGGCTCAAGTACTTGGGCCAGGAGACCTGGATTGAATTTTCAGCCCCTGGCTTCTGCCTGGTTCATTCTCAGCAGTTGCAACACTTGAGGAGTAAACTAGTAAATGAGAGATATGTTTGTCTTTCTGTCTGCCTTTCAAATAAATACAATAAAATAAGTTTAGTAAAACCTGCTTCACAGGTCACTGAGAATAAACAATGTGGTTAAAGTATTTACAATTCCATAGTAATAGCAGCTAGCACTTACTGAGCATTATTATCACTGCCAGGTCCACTAAATTCAATAAGCAAATCAATCTATGTTCCAATCCAATCTCTTTGCTCTTTGGTAAAAAGTGTACATATTTCCACCTTCCTCAACTCCCCTGATTCCTTATTTAATCAAACACATGCTTCAAGGCCCAAATGAGGGGCAATTTCCACTATGAAAGGCATGCTCAAAGTTCACAATCCACACTCATTTTGTACTTGCTCTAATTCCTATTGAGCTTAGTTGTACACAATTTATCAACTATTTCCTAATTTTGTGCTAGACTCCTTCCAACACATGATTATAAAGTGGTTACAAAAATAATCAATATAATTTGTATCCTCTACAACACCTTAGATAGCATCAAAACCACAAGAAGTTCTCAGTAGATAAAAAGTTCTTCATATCCTACAAGTACATTTGAATTAACACCCCAAAGCACACAGAATAGGGGAGAGATGCAGAGGAACAAGGTAGGAAAAAAGGAGATAAGTTAACTAAGCATATCACAGAAAGATTGTCTGTAAAATATTTACTGAATACTTCACTGAGAATGTAACTTCAACTAACCTAAGCTGAATTCTTTTAAAATGACAACTCAAAGTCCAAAGGCCTATTTTTATGATTCAAAGTTTGGAACTTCAAAGGAACATTCTAGTTTCCTTGAGTAGGCCCTTCCTTTCACAGAGGGAAAAAGTAAAACCAAATAGAGCATTCTTAAAAGTTTATATTGCCTTGGTATCCATCCAGATAGGCCACAATAAAAACCTATAAGTCCCAGCAAGACCTCCTGGAACTTGGGTTTTCTTTAAATCTATCAATTAGAACCCATGGGAAATCTGTATATACAATGCCTCAGATTCAATAAAGGTGTTGGCCTACAAGCCAGACTTTTTTCCTGCCTGTGCTTCCTGGCTTCCTTGCCTGTGGCCTCTAGGCATGCCACTCCCCCAACAAGACCTGTAAGTAACAAAATTTTTACTTCCATCTTGTGTCTCTCAGTTATTATAGGGGTGTTCTCCATCTTAAAGATCCTAAATGATAACAAACACTAACTACTTCAAGAAGTTTAACATTAATCTAACAAAGAATACTCTCATAAATACTAGTCATTAAAATTGCAGTTGCAGTCTTAATTATATTCATAATAAATAAGCATCAGACCAAAATAGATTTAAAAGATGTACTTTAGTATAATACAGTTGCTTTGTATATAATACAATTTGCTTTAGTATAATACAATTGCTTTGAAATATTTTGATTTAACTTTGTATTAAGTGTTTTCTTATACATTAAATATTTTAATTTTTATAAAGTTTATTCCCAAATAATTCATGATACTCTTACAATGTACCTTTTTCATGTGTTTCCTGTGTTTTTAGTGTTAATATTGCTTTCTTCTAAGCAATACTAAAATAATTATATTACTAAAATAACTAAAAAGCAAACTAGTTCATTTTATAAATCATCCCATCTCTGAAAATTTCTGGCTCCATTGTGCCCCCAGAACTTGGTATTTTATTGAAAAAAGAATACTTTGCTATTTCTGACAGAATGAAGATTTATACTGGTTGCAGATTTAGGACACACTTTTTCTTCTTAGGAGATGGTACTGTCATTTATTGTTCAACAGTTATCCTATCTAGAATGCTATCATATACTCATGGTCAATTTTGCATCAGATAATTTTTATAATCTCAGAATAGTCACTGAAATTTGTAGATGAAAAGAACAAGTTCACAAGCACTTTACAGATAGATACTGTGAATGTTTATAATTTTGATTCTCAGGGTAAGAAGAGTAAAAAGTGATATCTTTTAGAAATCAGAAACACAGTGATTACAAAACAGTTCTGGCAACATTCATCCATTTGTGTAATATAAATAATCAGCAAAAGAGCAGAACATGGGAGAAAGTTAAATCAATATGTGAATAAACATGGTCTGAAAAAAGTAAGTATACAATAGATACACAATAATTTCTTAGGAGACTTCCCCCATCCCATATGATTATGGAAACATGACTGCATGCTTTTAAAGCAAGATACTCTAGTATGAACACATTTGCAAGTGGAGAAAAGCCCTGTATTTGACCTTGGTACATGACAACTTACCCACAGCATTGTAGAGAGGCTCTCCAGTTAACTTGTCCCATACTACGGTGGTTTCCCTCTGGTTGCTGACACCAATAGCTTTAAAGAGAAAGTTAAATGAGAGACAACAGAAAATTAAATAGAGAACTACCTTGGGAGAACAGGTCATACAATCACAAACACACACAGGCACACACACATAGACACACACAAACCAAATGTAACAATTAAAAAAAAAACATCTGGAATATTCATAGTAGTATTTAAATTATCTTCCCTGAGCGGCCCCAGGGAAAATGAACACACTATCAAATTTTTCCTTTTATTTCTACACACTCCTTCCTGCTTCACTGCTAGCACACAATGGCATGGACCCAGATCAATACCCAAATGAAATCTCCTAGGTGGCCTTAAGGAATGCAATTACTTTCCAAATTTATAATACTCGATTTATGATTCTGAACAGACCAACAATCACCTCATTCATTTATTTGCCAACTGTTACAAGAAATTCCCTTTCCTATATGGATGTGGGCAAGCATGAATACCCAGAGGCTGGCATTGTGGTACAGCAGGTTAAGGTACCACCTGCGATGCCAGTATCTTATACTGAAATGCCAATTTGAGTTCCATTAACTGTGCTTCTGATCTGGCTCCCAACTAATGTGCCTGGTAAAGCAGCAGATGGCAGCCCAAGTAGTTGGGTCCCTGCCACCCAACTGGGAGACTAGGACAGAATTCTCAGCTCCTGGGTTTGGCCTGACCCAGCACCATAGTCATTGCAGCCATTCAGGAAGCGAACCGGCCGATGGAAGACTTGTCTCTGTCTTTCTCTCTTTCTCTCTCTCTCTCTCTCTCTCTCTCTCTCTCTGTCTCCTTCAAATAAATCAATCTTCAAAAAAACTTCTTAAGGAAGTATACAAAAATGTTTGTAGAAATAGAGAAAGGAGAATGTGATATGGAGCATACTGGAAGAGCTAAATACAGAAGGCTCCTACTTCCATTGTGATGAAGGAGAAGGAGCAGGAGATCCGGGTATTATGCACAGAAGTGGAAATGGAGGAAGTAAAGCCCCTGAGCCTCAACTTTCTCTGTGAAGTAACAGGCAAGGTTATCCGCTGAAAGTGGGCCGTGTGAAATTAAGACCAAGAGTTTGGGGAACTATTCAGTAGAGTTCAGGTCCTGAAGCCAGATGACTGGGGTTCAAACTCCAGTTTCTCAGCTTCCCAGCAGTGACTCTGGGTCTCAGTTTTGTCTCCTGGAAGATGGAGAATAAAAGTTCCCAACTTACAGGGTTACAGTAAGGAATCCCAGACTCAGTATATATTAAAACACATGCCTGGCACACAGTAAGTTGTCAACAAATGTTACCTGATGCTTCCTATGTCATCGCTACTGTTGAGTAAAGAGTAAAGTACAGGGGCCGGCGCTGTGGTGCAGTGGGTTAATCCTCCACCTGCAGCGCAGGTCTCCCATATGGGCGCCGGTTCTAGTCCTGGCTGCTCCTCTTCTGATCCAGCTCTCTGCTATGGCCTGGGAGAGCAGTAGAGGATGGTACAAGTACTTGGGCCTCTTCATCTATGTGGGAGACCCGGCCGGAGGAAGCTCCTGGCTCCTGGCTCCAGGCTCCAGATCAGTGCAGCTCCAGCCATTGTGGCCATTTGGGGAGTGAACCAGCGGTTGGAAGACCTTTCTCTCTGTCTCTACCTCTTCATTGTCTGTAACTCTACCTCTCAAATAAATAAATAAATAAACATTTTTTTTTTAAAAAGTAAAGTACAGGGGCTGATGCTGTGGTGTAGTGGGTAAAAATCACTACCTACAACACCAACACCCTATATGGGCACTGGTTCAAGTCCCAGCTGTTCCACTTCTGATCCAGCTCCTTGCTAATGTGCCTGGGAAAGCAGCTAAAACAGCCAAGTACCTGCTTGGGCTCCTGCAACCATATAGGAGACCTGGAAGAAGCTCCTGGCTCCTGGCTTCAGCCTGGCCCAGCCCTGGCCGTCGTGGCCATTTGGGGAGTAAACCAATGAATGGAAGATCTCTCTCTCTGTTTCTCCCTCTCTGTCTCTCTCTAACTCTACCTTTCAAATAAATACAATAAATCTTTAAAAAAGAGTAAAGAACAGTTTCAGAGAATGGGACTAAATTAAGCAAGACAAACAAAAGAATTCCCAGAAGCTCTGTGAGTACAACAGGGGAGCAATGGCAACAGGTTGCTCAAGTGGAATATTGTTTTTTTAAGAGCTCTTTTATTTATTAGAGTTACAGAGAGAGGTAGAGCCAGAGAGAGAGAGAGAGAGGGCTTCCATCTGCTGGTTCACTCCCCAAATGATGGCAATGGCCAGAGCTGAGCTGATACGAAGCCAGGAGCCAGCAACTTCCGGGTCTCACATGCAGGTGCAGGGGCCCAAGGACTTGAGCCTTCTTCTACTGCTTTCCAAGGCCATATCAGAGAGCTGGATCGCAAGTGGAGCAGCCAGGACTTGAATTGGCGCCACAGGAGATGCCAGCACTGCAGGTGGCGGCTATACCTGCTACACCACAGTGCTGGCCCTAGCATATTGCTTTGTTTTTTTTTTAAAGATTTATTTATTTATTTGAAAGAGTTTCAGAGAGAGAGAGACAGAGAGATCTTCTACCTGCTGGTTCACTCCCCAAAGGGCCTCAATGGCCATGGCAGGGCCAAGCTGAAACCAGGAGCTTCATCTGGGTCTCCCACTTGGATGCTGGGGCCCAAGCACTTAGGCCATCTTCTGCTGTTTTTCCAGGCCATTAGCAGGGAGCTAGATTGGAAGAGGAGCAGCTGGGATACAAACTAGTACCCATATGGGATGCCAGCAGCACAGGCAGCGACTTTAACTGCTATGGCACAATGCCGGCCCCTCAAGTGGCATATTTTGAACATGATACTTTTTTTAGTGACAACTTCGCAATGTGGGATCATAATGAATTCATGGTGCACTGAAATCTCCTATTGCTCAATGCATTAATTTTCCTATAAACAAACCAGCTGCTCCCTTAGCAACAGTCCTTAAGCTACTATTCTACACTAATCATGCTACCTCTCATTAGTGGCTCATTCTAACTTGTAATCAGAATGGAATCTAGAGCTATTTCAATCTGATTCTTTGGTCCCTGACCACTCCTTCTTTCTCCTCCTTTTTTTTTTTAAGATTTAGTTTATTTATTTGAAAGACAGAGTTACAGAGAGAGGTAGAGACAGAGAGAGAGGTCTTCCATCTGCTGGTTCACTCCCCAGATGGCCACAAGGGCCGGAGTTGCACCAATTCAAGATCAGGTGTCAGGAGCTCTTTCTGGGTCTCCCACCTTGATGCAGGGGCCCAAGGACTTGAGCTATCTTCTACTGCTTTCCCAGGTTATAACAGAGACCTATATTGGAAGTGGAGCAGCCAGGACTTGAACCAGCACCTGTATGGGAAGCCGGCGCTTCAGGCCATGGCTTTAACTCGCTGCGCCACAGCGCCAGCCCCTCCTCCATCTTAAGTCCATTGCTTCATGCCAAGTAAAATTGCTTTTCTTGTAGACAAAGTCCAGTAAACAGCTTCTCAGGATTTTGTCCCAGCCACGAAATCACCAGTCTTCCTCAGGGCTTGTAGGTCATTTAGGCAATGTCTCTGAGAATTTTCAATGTTATAACTTCTTGTCATTTTTACCCTACAATCCAATATGTTTTTTAAAGCAAACTTTCCTGACTGCTAATCCCAACACATGTGTCATTGTTAATAGTTCCAAATTCTAATTCCCTCTTTCCCCAAACAGCACATTCAGATTCCGGAATTCTTCATCTTAGTTCAACTGCACCATTTAGGAGCACATCAAAGGTACAGACATAAAACACACATCTCCTAGCCTTGAATTCTTTTAGTTACAAATATAACCATTAGCACATACAAAACCCCATGTATTGCTCTTGTATCTAGCAAGCTCATACTTTACTGATACATTCTTTCTTAGGAAATGTTTTTCTCTACACTGAATATCGATAGTAAAATTTAAAAATAAGGGGTTAGTATTGTGGCATAGTACGTAAAGCTGCTACGTGCAATGCCAGCATACCATATGGGTGCTGGTTCGTGTCTTGGTTGCTCCGCTTCCAATACATCTCCCTGATAATGGCCTGGGAAAAGCATAAGAGGATGGCCTGGGTTTTTGGGACCCTGAACCAACATGACAGACCCAGATGAAGCTCCTGGCTCCTGGCTTCAGCCTGGCCAAGCACCAGCCATTGAAGGCATCTGGAGAGTGAACCAGGTGGAAGATCTCTCTGTCTTTCCCTTTCTTGCTGTAACTCTTTCAAAATAAATCTTTCAAAAATATTTAAGGGGCCGGTGTTGTGGCAGTACAGATTAAGCTGTCACCTACGATGCTGGCATCCCATAAGGGCACTGGTTCAAGTCCTGGGTGCCCCACTTCTGATCCAGCTCCCTGCTAATGTGCCTGGGAAAGCAGCAGAGGATGGTCCAAGTGCTTGGGCCCCTGCACCCAAGCAGGGTTGGGAGATCAGGACGAAGCATGTTTTATAGTGACTTGCAATCAACAAAGTTTCTGATAGATGAGGACAACTAAAACCAATAAAACAGGAATTTGTCAAAAAATAAAACTAAATATGATTAAGTCTATAAATGATTATCAGATAGGACTATAAATGATATCACTCTTTAGATGCCAAGGTTAATTTACTTGCCATACAAGAAATAAAGCCTGAAGTGATTTGTGAGATTATCATCAGTGTATCTCAGGAAAAAAAAAGCATTGGCTTAGAAAACAAGGGAGCTGTAATTTAATGTTATCTACCACTACATAGCTACATGACCTGCAATAAATCCCTTCTCTCATACACAGCAAGAGGGAGCTGGTCTATGTGACTCCAGATATATTTTTTTAATATTTACTTATTTATTTGAAAGGAAGAGTTACAGAGAAAGAGGGAGAGACAGAAAGAGAAAGATCTTCTATCCAATGGTTTACTCCCCAAATGCTGCAATGGGCAGGGCTGGGCCAGAGGCAAAGCCAGGAGCCTGAAACTCTCCATCAGGGTTTTCCACTTAGGTAGCAGGAGCCCAAGAACGTGGGCCATCTTCCAGTGCTTTCTCAGGCACATCAACAAGGAGCTGGATTGGAAGGGGAGCAGCCAGGATTTGAACCAGTGCTCAGAAGGTATGCCACCATCGCAGATGGTAATTTAACTTGTTGTGCCACAATGCTGGCCCCAGACTACAGATTCTTTACAGCTTGAAGTATGTGATCTAAAGAGTTCTTATAAGCAAGCAAAAGCTTTGCCTTTGGTGATGCCAATTCAACAAATTATCTGGGAAAAACAATTAGCATTGGGCTTGTGGAACATTCTCTTCCTTGGCCATAAACTAGAGGTTGTAGAGAAGGACGTGCTAGGTCACTTTAGCTCATGTATGGGTTTCACAATGGCAAGACACAAAGAAGTAGAGAGAACAGCATGTTCAGTTCTTGCAAACTAGCTAGTACAAGTTGAAGGCAAATCACAGGGCTGGTGTGGTACAGTGGGTTAAGCCACTTGTGACAACAGCATCTCATACAGTGCTAGTTTGAATCACAGCTACACTGCTTCCCATTCAGCTTCCTGTTAATGCACCTGGGAAGGCAGCAAAAGATGACCCAAGTACTCTGGTCCCTGTCACCCATGTGGGAGACCAGGATGGAGTTCCTGGCTCCTAGCTTTGGTCTAGCCCATTCCTGGCTATTGTGTCTAACTGGGGAATCAACCGTGGACAGAAGATATCACTTGCTCTTTCTTTCTCTCACCCTATCCCCCTGCAATATGTCACAATTTACCTTACCTGTGTGGGAGGTAGAACAATAACACAACTACCTGGATTCTACATTCTGAACATGGCTTTATGCTTCTTGAAATACCTATATTGTTGGTAATGAATATTTTGATAACAGAGGGTGCTACTGAATGTCTATTATTTGTTTACACTGTTTAGACTGGAAGCTGTGAGATAATCTCAAAGAAATGACCAAAAACAATCACTTTGATGTACAAGTAATCTAAAATTTTGTGATCGCAGTTCTAAAACAAGTTTGAAGCATTTCTATTACAATGCTGGAGTAAAAGGAAGGTAGGATTAATATGTACAGGATATAAAAATTGTCAATAAGAAAATGTCAAGGCCAGTGTTGTGTCACAGTGCATTAAGTTGCAGCCCATGATGCAGGTATCCCATGTCATAGCACATGTTTGAGTCCTGGCTGTCCTACTTCCCATCCAGCTTCCTGCTAATGCACCTGGGAAAGCAATAGAAGATGGCCCAAATGCTTGGGCCCCTGCCACCCACGTGGGAGACCTGGAAGAAACTCCTGGCTCCTGGTTTCAGATCAGCTCAGCTCTGCAGCCATTTGGGGAGTGAAACAATAGATGGAAGATCTCTGTCTCTCTAACTCTGCCTTTCAAATAAATAAATCATTCTTTAAAAGAAACTACTAGGAAGGGGCTGGTGTTGTGACACAGCAGGTTAAGACACTGCCTATGATACCAGCAGCCCATATTGGAGCACCAGTTAGAGTCTTGGTTGATCTGCTTCTGATCCAACTCCCTGTTAATGTGCCTGGGAAGGCAGCAGATGATGGTCCAAGTACTTGGACCCTTGCCTCCCACAAGGAGACCTAGATGGAGTTTCTGGCTCCTGGATTCAGCCTAGTCCAGCCCTAGCCATTGCAGCCAATTGGGAAGTAAATCAGCAGATAGAAGATTCTCTCTCTCTCTCTCTCTCACTCTCTCTCTCTCTCTAACTCTTTCAAAAAAATAAATATTTAAAAGAATATCAAGCTCTTCAAAAAAAATACTAGGAATTCACAGAGAGATCTTTCATTATCTAACATCTCAGGCAATTATTCCAGGGAAATTTTACAAATGAAGTGTCTGGATTCCAAACACTCCTCCCCAATCCTTACTTCCTCTACAGTCTTTCTCACCTCAATAAAAGGCATCCTTATCCATCTAGGAGCTTCAGCAAAACCCCAACAATCACCTTGGACATATCTCTTCCCCTCACCTTACTACTCTCTTTAGTACTTGACATCCAATCCATCAGCAGATACTGACTTTCTCTCCACCTTCACTGCCACCACCATCGTTCAAACCACCAACCTCTCAGGACTTCCACAGCAGCCCCACACTGGTCTCCCTGTGTCCAAACTTAGGCCTTTTATGGCCCACTATCCACACAGCAGCCAGAAAGTTGTCTTCAAACAGAAAGCCATCCTCTCTCACCTTGTTTAAGACCTTCTCAAGGCTCCCTGTGAATCTTAAGAATAATGTCCGGGGGAGCCGGTGCCGTGGCTCACTAGGTTAATCCTCCACCTGCGGCGCCGGCAACCCATACTGGTGCCGGGTTCTAGTCCTGGTTGCTCCTCTTCCAGTCCAGCTCTCTGCTATGGCCCAGGAGGGCAGTGAAGAACGGCCCAAGTGCTTGGGTTCCTGCACCTGCATGGGAGACCAGGAAGAAGCACCTGGCTCCTGGCTTCGGATCGTCACAGTGCCAGCCATAACGGCCATTTGGGGAGTGAACCAACGGAAGGAAGACCTTTCTCTCTGTCTCTCTCACTGTCTATAACTCTACCTGCCAAATAAATTAAAAAAAATAATAATAATGTCCAGGGGCCGGTGCCATGACGTAGCAGGTAAAGCCACTGACTGCAATGCCGGCATCCCATATGGGCGCCAGTTTGGGTCCCGGCTGCTCCACTTCCAATCCAGCTCTCTGCTATGGCCTGGGAAAGCAGTACAAGATGGCCCAAATGCTTGGGCCCCTGCACCTGCACGGGAGACCAGGAAGAAGTTCCTGGCTCCTGGCTTTGGATCGATGCAGCTTCGGCCATTGTGGTCATCTGGAGAGTGACCAAGTGGATGGAAGACATCTCTCTCTCTGCCTCTCCTTCTCTGTCTGTTTAACTCTTTCAAAATAAATAAATCTTAAAAAAAAAAATAACGTCCAAACTATGGCTGACAAGCCCTACCCATTTGCCTGATCTCAGCTCCTACTGAAACCCTCTGCCCACCCACTCTTCCCCTTCAACCTTCTTTCACTCTGCTTTCAACATGCAGGACTTCTTTCTGACTCAATAATGTACCATACTTCTTCGCATCTAAGAGCATTTGCATACGCTACTTCCTTTTCCTCAAATATTCTTCCCCTAGATAGTTGCATGATTTGCTCCTTTTGGCCTATGAGATCTCAGCCAAAGTGGCACCTCTTCAGATAGGCTTCCCCTGGCTACCCAATCTAAAGTAAACCCCTCTAGGCAAACCCACCATATCACTTGGTTTTTATATTCTGCATGGGCCTTATTTGTATTTGAAGTTAAGCTTGTTGGTAGGCATTTCACACAGCAGTTATGTTGCTGTTTGGCCATATCCCATATCAAAGTACCTTGTTCGAGTCCCAATCTGCTTCCAATCTAGCTTCCTGCTCACACATATCCTGAGAGGCAGCAGGTGATGCCTCAAGTATTTGGGCTCCTGCCACCCATGTGGGAGACCTGGATGGATTTTCTGACTCCTAGCTTCAGCCTAGCCCAGCCCTGGCTATTAAGGGCATTTGGGGAGTGAACCAACAAATGGAAGATCTCTCTCTGTTTCTCTCTCACTCTCTCTGCCTTTCAAATAAAAATGAAAATAAATTAATATTTTAACAAGAAATTAGCTTGTATTTTTCTTCCCTTATTGTTTTTCTCACCTTCACCAAAATAAAGGCTCCATGTTCATTTTATGATCCTTCATAGGATCAATAGTCCAACAGGCACTCAATTGTGAACTGAAAGAATGGATGAACGAATTTGATTCAGAGTCATACCAAGTGAATAAAATATTCTATTAAAAATACCTTTTATGTTGGAAATATCAATGTTGAGCTGTCCAAGTTTCTCACACGTTTTCTCTATACACTCATAGACAGACTGCAGAATTTCCTTAGGGTCTTGTTCTACCCATCTTTGAACAAAAGAATATTATTTGGTTAGTCTACAAGAAATCAATCCAAATATAACCTATCTATATAGAAATATTAACTTGTAAGGGTGATTGATTCTTAAATTAAAGGAAATCAGGCAAGCAAAGGATATCCCACATTATAAAAAAATGATTTAAAGAAAAGTCGATTTCCCTTACATTTTTATTATTCTTCATAGAGTAATTAATCATTTTAAAGAGGGTCACTAATAGAAGGCTATAGACAACAAATATTCTGCCTATTTTTAAATTATTTTTCAGGTCCAGTAAGAAAGAAATGAGTTCTCCAATTCTTTATATCTGGAGCATTTGTTACATTTTGATAAAATATTTGCAGGTTTCAACATGTACTAGCTATTTTTAAGTAGACTGAAATATGTTTATTACTCTTAGGAATTAGATATTGGGGAAGCAATAGAAATTCTGAAAAGTCAATTAAGTATACTAATCTCTTTTGCCACTTTTCCCCAAAAAATGTTTTGTGAAAATTGAAGGGAAAAATTAAACTTCTTCTAATAATTATTTCATGTTGACAAGTGATTAGTCAAAGTTCAGAGCCAATCACAGTATAATTCTGGTAAGGTCCCATGGCCTCAAAAGAATGAAAGGCTAATAATAAATGAGAAGGGGGTCAACATTGTGGCGCAGTGGGTTAAGCCATGGCCTGTGACACCAGCATCTAATTTGGATGCCAGTTCAATACCCGGCTGCTCTACTTCTGATCCAGCTCCCTAATAATGTATTTGGCAAAAGCAGAAGAGAACCACAGTATTTGGGCCCTTGCACCCACGTAGGAGATCCAGATGGAATTCCTGGCCCCTGGCTTTGGCTTTACCCCGCCCTGACCGTTGTGGTCATTTGAAGGATGAACCAGTATATGGAAGATCTCTCTCTTCTTTTTCTCTTTCTGTCTCTCCCTGTTTCTCTGTAACTCTGCCTTTCAAATAAATCTTTAAAACTGCAAAATGTGGGGCTGGTGCTGTGGCGCAGCGGGTTAATGCCCTGGCCTGCAGTGCCAGCATCCCATATGGGCGCCGGTTCGAGTTCCAGCTGCTCTACTTCTGATTCCGCTCTCAGCTGTGGCCTGGGAAAGCAGTAGAAGATGGCCCAAGTCCTTGGGTCCCTGCATCCGGGTGGGAGACCCGGAAGAAACTCCTGGCTCCTGGCTTCAGATCAGCTCAACTCTGGCCATTGCAGCCATTTGGGGAGTGAACCAGAGGATGGCAGACCTCACTCTCTCTCAATCTGGCTCTACCTCTCTCTGTAACTCTGTCTTTCAAATAAATAAAATAAAATAATTTTTAAAAATCAAAATATAATTATAAAGAATAATAATAATAATGGTAATACATGAGAAAGAAATGAAGCCTGGGAGAAACAAATGGCACTATGCAGAAGCCCAAAAGTAGAAATGACACAAACTAATGGAATCCTAGCCCGATCTGCAAGTAGCAAGAGAATTCAAAATGTTTTCATTCTCCGCTTTCATCACGCCTAGCTTAATGCTTCCCTTTCCTGAGCTCTGAGCTTTCTGTGTTCTTTCTTTTCAAAATTCAGACCTCCTTCCATGTACTTCTAATTTTCATCCTTCCATGACCAGGTATCCTCTTTCCCAACTGCATGGGACTCAGGCCTGTGGGACAGTCATTCTAATGTTTCTAACATATCAATGATTTATTATTAAACAAAAGAATTCCTAAAAAAAAGGATTTTTCATGTGAAGAAAACAATACCAATTTGGAAACATATTAATTTCTCTTTTCTCAAACTGAGATTACCCTTAAAGTGAAATGAACTGATCTAAAGGGTATAATTTGCTGAGTTTTGACAAATTACATACCTATCTAACCAATACCCCAGCCAAGGTACAGAATACTTCCATCACCCAGAAAGTTCTTTAGGGCCCCTTTTCAAGTCAGTCATACACATATGAAGTCATTTTTCTGATTTCTATCACCCTAAGCTAATTTCACCTATTTTTGATTCTCAGATAAAGAATCTTTCTTTTTACCATCCATAATATCAATGATATTATCCATGCTGTTTTATATATCACTTAACTTTTTTAAAAAACGCTGAATATATTCCATTGTTATCCATTCTACTGGTAACAGACATCTGTGTTGTTCCCAGTTTGGGGCTATTGTGAATAAAGTGGCTATAAACACTGAATATATGAGTCTGGCGCTGTGGCTAGCAGGTAAAGCCCCCGCCTGCAGTGCCAGCATCCCATATGGGCGCCGGTTCAAGACTCAGCTGCTCTACTTCCGATCCAGCTCTCTGCTAGGGCCTGGGAAAGCAGTAGAAGATGGCCCCAAGTCCTTGGGTCCCTGTACCCGCATGAGACCCAGAAGAAGCTCCTGGGTCCTGGCTTTGGATCAGCACTGCTCTGGCCATTGCAGCCAATTGGGGAGTGCACCAACAGATGGAAGCTCACTCGTGCGCTCTCTCTCTCTCTCTCTCTGCCTCTCCTTTTCTGTGTAACTCTTTCAAATAAATAAATAAATCTTTAAAAAACATTCAATATAGGTCCTTCTCTGGATATCTGCTTTCATTTCTTTTAGACAAATTCCTAAGAGTGGAACACACCAGGTGTATAGTTAACTATACAAGAAACTTAGTTTTTCAAAAGTTTTTCATAGGCCAGTGCCGCAGCTCAATAGGTTAATCCTCCACCTTGCAGCGCCGGCACACCCGGTTCTAGTCCCAATTGGGGCATCGGATTCTGTCCCTGTTGCCCTCTTCCAGTCCAGCTCTCTGCTATGGCCTGGGAGTGCAGTGGAGGATGGCCCAAGTGCTTGGGCACTGCACCCTCATGGGAGACCAGGAGAAGCACCTGGCTCCCGGCTTCGGATCAGCGTGGTGCGTCGGCCGCAGTGGTCATTGGAGGGTGAACCAATGGTAAAGGAAGACCTTTCTCTCTGTCTCTCTCTGTCTCTCTCACTGTCCACTCTGCCTGTCAAAAAAAAAAAGTTTTTCATAAAAATCACTAAATTTTAAATATACTTCAGGTTATATTTAGTCACAATTACTACATGAGAGCTATTCCCAAAAAGGATGAATTTAGCACTAGATATGAGTGTGGTTTTTTTTAATAAACATTTTTATTTTTAAAAAACTTGCTCTCATATCAGCAAAACAGCACTTTGGCAGTGATGAAAATACAGCTAAATGACCTCAAAATCAATGCAGAAGTTCTGAAATTTAATACTTTTAAAAATTACTTTATTCCTTCTTTTTCTGTCACTGAATTCCTAAGCCATCAATACTCACATGTTTTTGCTGAGCTACCAAGTTATTGCTTCTTTTCTTGACTAATACCAGTCCCTCAAGTCTTCTCAGGAGGGTGTGTCTGGTCATGTTTACTTTACAAATCCACAGTGCAGGTGGGGTGAGACGAAATAATAAACCTGATGTGTCTTTATGTATTAAATTAGGAAACATACCCTTCTTTTGGAAACTCTTGTTTTATTTCCACCTGATGATGACTAAGTAGTTCCGCTGTTTTTGAATTGAAAACCTGGAAAACATATTGCAATATTATTGTATAAAATGTATGCAGATATCAAAGATATTTAAAATTATTTAGCAACTGAAGTTCTCATTCATAAATTTAACAAGTACAGTCAGATAAAATGCCATTCAAGGTATTCTCTTCATGTGGAATCATAAAAATTATGACAGCATCAGAAATAACGCCTTTTCAAGTAAACAGAAATCTACTGAAGACAAAAATAAAGGAAGGGACAATCGCTTACTCTTTTTTTTAAAGATTTGTTTTATTTATTTGAAACAGAGTTACAGAGAGAGGTAGAGACAAAGAGAGGTCTTCGATCTGCTGGTTCACTGCCCAGACGGCCGCAACAGCCAGAGCTGTGCCGATCCGAAGCCAGGAGCCAGGAGCCAGGAGCCTCCTCCAGGTCTCCCACACGGGTGCAGGGGCCCAAGGACTTGGGCCATCTTCTACTGCTTTCCCAGGCCACAGCAGAGAGCTGAATCAGAAGAGTAGCCGGGGCTAGAACCAGCGCCCATATGGGATGCTGGCGCTTCAGGCTAGGGCTTTAACCCACTGCGCCACAGAGCCTGCCCCAACAATCACTTACTCTTTAAAAACCCAAAATGCTTCTTTGTTTGTATTCAAGTTAACACATTCAATAGTACAGATTCTTTTTTAGAGAACGGAAAAATCAAGAAAAAAATGAGACCTGTACTAAATAAAAGTTAAAAAAAAAAAGGAAAAAAAAAAAATGAGACCTGACATAGGGATAAGAGCAAGGGCATAAGGTTCTACTCCCCATTCATCTTGAATATGGAGACACAAAATAGATGCCCAGACAGGGATAGTACTGTGTGAATTCCTTTGAAGGTAATTACAGGAATGAATCTATCTCTCATAAGAAGCAAACCAGAGCCCTGTCCATAGCAAAAGTGTATCTTGGCCACATTCATTTGAATACTCTCTTTGACACTGTAAATTGCTGATATTTGATATAAAACATTGAAATCAAGGGATGAAAACTAACAAAAAAAGTGCCGTATAATCCTGCATAATTTTAATTCTACTAAATAACACTTTTTAAAACTTTGCAACATTTTTTCATATATATTGTTTTCCATCTGGTAATATCTATACTTGATTACCAAAGAACTTATTCAGAGTAAGAATATTTAATTAAAGTTTACTTCCAATGTCACTATGATTGCAGCAATAAAGTCATTTCCAATTAGTTAAAAAGCATTTCCATGACTAGGTTTCTTGTCAGAGAAAAGTACCTGGTTTGATGCAGACTAAAAAAGAGAAAGGAAAAAATATATATAAAACAAGAGACAGCAACTAGAGAGGAAACATTATGACTTGTTCCTTTCTTCTCTCCATATCACATGTACCTTCTTTTCTAGAGAAAACAGTAACCATAATAGAAGAGGGCAAATTCTGAAGTTCTTTAGGGAGATAAAATATATAACAAGTCAAAGATTAACTTGATACATCATAAAGAGGAGAAGACACTTGACAGAATCCTTGCAATATCCTGTGATTTATAACTTAGCATTAGGGTATATCTCCAGGATGTGAGCTACATCAGCATTACAATATATGTCTAGGATGTCAGCTCCATTTATACCATTTCCTCTAAAGTATCCCTAATGCCTGGCACAGAGTGACTCAGTAAATATTTGAATGTCTTAAAATGTATGGCCTATTATAGGTACTTAATGGAGAAAAATTATCAAATGAGAAACAATTATGTGACAAAAACTTCAATAAGAAAGTAAAGCTATAATATTATTATTCATATTATTGCCAATCTCCTGCCACTCACAGATTCCAAAGGAATCTGGGTTAAAAAACAAGGTGTCCGGGCGGTGCCATGGCTCACTAGGCTAATCCTCCGCCTGCGGCGCCGGCACACCGGGTTCTAGTCCCGGTTGGGGTGCTGGATTCTGTCCCCGTTGCTCCTCTTCCAGTCCAGCTCTCTGCTGTGTCCTGGGAAGGCAGTGGAGAATGGCCCAAGTGCTTGGGCCCTGCAGCACCCACATGGGAGACGAGAAGGAAGCACCTGGCTCCTGGCTTCAGATCGGCGCGGCGCACCGGCCACAGTACACTGGCTGTAGCGGCCATTTAGGGGGTTGAACCAACGCAAAAGGAAGACCTTTCTGTCTCTCTCTCACTGTCTAACTCTGCCCATCAAAAAAAAAAAAAAAAAAAACAAGGTGTCCCTTTTTGCTGGCTGGATTGATAAAGACTTCAACAATAGATCTTTGGGGCTACGAATGGAGTGGGATTCTTCTTCGATCACTTCCAAGTTTTAACTATGCTAACTTCTGAGCCCTCATTCTAAAAATGGATTCATAGATCTTGGATTATGCAAAGGGAAGGATATTGGTAAATTCTATTGAATGTAATACAGAGTGAAGCCATCCCATTACACAGTATTTGGACCTACCAGGATGGAGTTCGGAACCTCCTAATTCATTAGAGCCCTGAACCTGAGAAGATTGCTACTGCCTGTAGGTATTTAGGCTCTGATCCTTAGCATCACCCTCAAATTTTGGGGATACTTTCCAGATTTAATATTTTTGGAATCTGCAACTTTCCTAGTACAGTATTGTCCAACAGAAATATAAAGCAAACCATGTTGTTTAAATTTTCTATGAAATAAGCTTAATATCACTTTATTTATTTAAGCCTATACCTATAGATTATCATTTTGACATGTGATAAATATAAAAATTATTAATTAGATCTTTTATTTTTAAATACTAAGTCTTTTAAATCTGGTACATATCTATACTTACATCTATTTCAATCCAGACTAGCCACATTTAAACTGATCAGCAGTTACACATCACTAGTGTCTATCATCTTGGACAGCAGAATTTTAGAATACTTTTTCCCTCTGGGTTCATGTCAAGAATCATAATGAAGCCTCTTGGCTGTCCATTTGTGGATGGAGAAAGGTACAAAGAAGGCAATAGTCTATGGTGGAGAGTAACTAATTCCCCATGAGAACATACTGCCCAATTACAAGAACACTAGTAGGTTATTTTCTTTTTCTTTTCTTTTTTGACAGGCAGAGTTAGACAGAGAGAGAGAGACAGAGAAAGGTCTTCCTTTTTCCATTGGTTTACCCCCCAAATGGCTACTACTGTCAGCATGTTGTGGCCGGCGTGCTGCGCTGATCTGAAGCCAGGAGCCAGATGCTTCCTCCTGGTCTCCCATGTGGGTGCAGGGCCCAAGGACCTGGGCCATCCTCCACTGCCTTCCCGGGCCACAGCAGAGAGCTGGACTGGAAGAGGAGCAACCGGGACAGAATCCGGTGCCCCGACTGGGACTAGAACACAGTGTGCCGGCGCCGCAGGCGGAGGATTAGCCTAGTGTGCCACAGCGCCAGCCACTAGTAGGTTATTTTCAAGTACATCTCAAAAAAAACTATTGCCAATTAATGATGGCAGGGGCTGTATAGCTTGCTTTTATAAACTAATGTGGTCATTTGTTCAATAATTATTTGAAGGGCACGGGGCAAACAGCGGCAAATTATAGATACTCCCTCATCTTTTTCTCGCTTTCAAGTTTGAAATTCACCTAACTTGAAGGCCTGCTAAACTTCTGATGCACAACTGCACAGTATAGAAAACTACTTTTAAGAAGCTGAAAGGAATATTTAAGACACACTGAGTGTATGGGCACTGGAAACTGTGCTAGAGATCCTCTGGCCTAGCATTTGCCAAATGTGTTCCCCTCCTCTCTAGGACTCTTCAGAAGCTGCAAGAGGGACAAGGAACCGCTGCCAAGTCCCAGGAGCATGCCCCAGCTTACAGTTCACGTTTTGACTTCAGCTTCCACATTTAAACTCTTCCAGAAATGAGGCTAACAATGAGTTCCAAGATGAAAAGTAAACACCACCAACTGAACCCCAAGGCCCTAATGTAATGCTCTCATATTTACAAAGGGGAGAGCCCAGGGACTAGACAATACTGACAAACAAGACTAAACTCTCAAGTTTGGTGAACACCAATTCAGTGCTTTTCCAATTTGAAATCATACTGATACCAACATGATTTCTTAATCATCCATTAAGTGGCAGTGAATCATCCATTACAGGGCCAGGGCTATAAAGAGGACAAAGGCTAGCCTAACCCAGACTTGTGGGAGTCAGAGAAGGGCCCTCAGAAGAGGCAATTTCTGAACTAAAACTTCAGGTTGGACAGGGAGTATAGGCGTTCAGGTGGGCGAAGGTACATGGTGCTAGTACTGCTGAGAAAGCATCAAAGGTAAGTGAGACAGGGGCCGGGAGAGTGGCTGACAGCTACCTGTTGTGGGCCAGGTGAGACCAGTGGAGGGCTCCACTAGAAGGGCAGAAGCAGCATGAGTTAAGAAAAATAAAGTGAAGTATGGAGAGAAATTTAGAGGAAATGGCAAACAGTTAGAGAGATCTGTTTTCAGAATTTTTTGTGGGCCAGAAAGGTAGATGAGAAATTCATATTTGGTATAATGCAGAGGCAAAGAGCACAGACCCCAGAAGACCCCAGAAGGTCAAGCCCCAGTCCTGCCCACATCAGCTGTCTTTTAACTTTCCTGAGCCTTGACTTTTCCATCTACAAAAGGACTAAATAAAGTAACTTAGGAAAAGTATTGAGCACAGGGTAGGCATAATATGAATCCACAAGCTGTGACCACTATGGCTGCTGCTACTAATTTTATCAATATTAGCACTACTATTACTGCTATCATCACTATCACCCATAGGTGATAGAATTATGATTACAGATCGCCAGTTCAGTATTCATCTCTAAGCCCAAACCATGTCTCAATTCCAGATTTTGCTCTGGGGAGAGGGCAATTTAAAATGGAAGCAATAAGGAAAATTAACATTGGGAAAGAATTTAACACAGTGCAGACACACAGTATACACCCAATGTTAACCACTACTGTACTTATTATTACTACTACATTATTATTATTACTATTATTTATAAGTGGTAGAATTAGAATTAGAAATCAACAGTTCTAGGATCACCTCAATGCTTAAATGATGACTTACTTCTAGACTGGGAGGAAGAGAGTAAAACTGAAGAAACAAGGAAAAATGTTCTAACAATGTTGAAAAGCAGCCTTCTGAAACAACATATGCATTATCCGTCTTATAACAAGGAGCAACACAGAGACATGAAATGCCCTCCCTTACTAAGTAACTGTCCTGAGGCTTCCCTCACTCATCCTATGGCTAATTCAGCTGTCCCATCATAAACATGCACATTCATTTCCCTCCCCACATGACTTCCCCACAAGCCTACTCTTTTATGGCACACTAAACTTTGCTATGTGATAAGACTTTATTCAGGAAGGTAAACTCCCTCTTGAAAATACCATGACAGTTCATATATTTGAAAGACTGAAACTAAAAAAATACTACCTACAAATACGTATATTGTATTGCTAATTTGACCAGAAAAGGGCTGATGGGGCATCTTCCAACAAGACATTGAAGTAAAAACATAGCAAATGTCATATTCTTCTTTAAATGAAATTGTATTAAACAGCATCTGCATACATCTAACACAGCTATAGTTGCCAAGATTCTCTAAGTTTTGCCTTCCTACTCTTATAATCCAAGAGTCCTGGTTAACACATCTGAACCTTGTAAGTTCCTTGCTGCTGAAGTTGATTCACACAATGAGAACCTGCCACATGCTTTGGCAGAAAAAAGGGACACGGCTCTGCCTCTCAAAGAGCTCAAAATTGAAAGCTCATAACTAAGGCTTGAGAGAGACAAGACAGAAGCAAATGGCAGATCTCTGATGAGAATGCATTCATGCTACTTGCATTATATGATGGGAAAGAAAACAGCCAATGCAGTGGGACGAAATATATAACAAAAGAAACAAGAGCTAGCATTGTGGCAGAAGGTTATCATTCCCCTGCAATGCAATGCCACCATCCAATACAAGCACTGGTTCAAATTCCAGATGCTCTACTTCCAAATGAGCTCCCTGCAAATCTCCTGAGAACACAGTGAATGATGGCCCAAGTGTTCAGGACCCCGCTACCCACTTGGGAGACCTGGATGGAGGTTCAGGCTCCTTGCTTAAGCCTGGCCCAGCCCAGCCATTGCAGCTATTTGGGGAGTGAACCAGTTGATGGAAAATCTGTTTCTTCCTTTCTCTCTGTAACTCTGCCTTTCAAATAAATAGATCTCCTTAAAAAAAAAAAAAAGAGTGGTCTCATTCTAGCTATGAGCCAAATTAATTTTCACCAAACTTATTGTTCCTTAGTCTCTGGCCCATAATGGGGTTTAATAAATAAGTGTTGAATAAATAAATGAAAGAAAGCGGAACTTCATCCATAAGCCTTATGAGATCTCTAAGTATGATGAGCCAACTGCATCCAAGGCAACATTTCTTGCCAAAACAAACATGGAAATACAATTCTAGTCATTCTTCATATACACTGGCTGTTGAAATAAAACGATTATGCAATCATTATGCAAGGTGACACATCTGAGCCCTGCCCAGAACCTGCTGAAAGTCACAAAATGATTATAATCTGCAACATTTATTCAAAGGCAACATTTTGTATACATTGTGGAACCAATTTCTATGTATGTTTTTCTTGGTGAAGATTTATTTATTTGTGACCATAATCAGAAGTGACATCTGATTGATAGTAAGGTGGCCTTTCCCATTCTCCCATCTTGCCTTCACAGTCTTCAAGGCAGCCAGGGACGCTGAAGGTTAACTCAGTAGTAACTTTGGAGGCAACGTTCAGCCACAAGCTAATCATCTTTGTAAAGGAGTTTTCTCATACTTCCTATAGTACAGAGTTATTATGACAATTAAATAAGAAAATGCTGGAAAAGTCTTCAATACAGTATCTGGCATACTTCAAGTCACAACACATTCCAAACCTTTAAAAAAAAAATTCAACTTAATGAGAAAAAAAAATTAAGTTACCAAATCAAAGAAGGAAGTTGACTGTTTAAGCTGAAACTTTTGTGTCATAAAGAAATGGCCCCTCCTTAAAACCTGTTATACTAACACTCTTTCCAAGAAGTTCCTATTCTGCAATCTGAAAAACCATGTGCCAACCCCCAGACACTTTCCTTTCAGACAAACTGGAAATTTTCCTTTAGTATAAAGTATTTGCAGAGGGTCCCCAAGATGAAATCTTTGACAACTTGACAGAAAAATAAATGTGTTCTAAAACTGCAGGTCTACTAATAAAATAGAAATAAAATAATCACACATACTAAAGTCAAAAAGTTTTTAAACTTTTTTTTTTGGCAAGTTAAGAAGGAAAACCTAGAGTTGGTATTGTGGCACAGCAGGATGAGACACAGGCATCCCATATGGGCAGCAGTTAAGAGTCCTGGCTGCTCCACTTCGGATCCAGTGCCCTGCTAATGCACCTAGGAAAGCATCAGAAGATGGCCCAACTGCTTGGGGCCTTGCCACCCATGTGGGGGACCTGGATGGAGTTCTGGACTCCTGGCTCCTGGCTGGCCTGGCCCCGGCCATTGGGGTCACTTAGAGAGTGAATCAAGGGATGAAGTATCTCTGCCTCTCTCTGCCTCTCTCTCTCTCCCTCTCTCTGTATGTCTCTTCCCCTCTCTCTCTAACCTTGCCTTTAAAATAAATAAATAAATCTTTTTTAAAAAAAAAGAAAATAAAGATTCAAATTCAGTTTATCTATTAAAGAGAAATAAAAGTCTACTCAATAAAATAAAGGCATTTGTTGGGGCCGGCACCGTGGCTCACTTGGCTAATCCTCCGCCTGTGGCGCCGGCATCCCATATGGGCGCTGAGTTCTAGTCTGGCTGCTCCTTTTCTGATCCAGCTCTCTGCTATGGCTTGGGACAGAAGTAGAAGATGGCCCAAGTCCTTTCCCATATGGGAAACCGGGAAGAAGCTCCTGGCTCCTGGCTTCAGATCGGTGCAGCTCCGGACATTGTGACCATCTGGGGAGTGAACCAGCAGATGGAAGACCTCTCTCTGTCTCTACCTCTCTCTGTAACTCTTTCAAATAAAATAAAATAAATCTTAAAAAACAAAACCAACATACAAAAAGAATCAGTGTGCTTGGTTTGGCCCTCAGTGTTTTTATGAACTGACTGTCAACATGTAAGAATTGAGAGATTTCACTGAAAACTCTAGACTACAGTTTTTCTTAAAGAATCTGAAGGTCAGGTAGCACTGGACTTGTGTTCCTGTGTGGCAGCTACTGGCTGCTCCCTTGGCTTGAGTATGCTCTCCAGACTGCTTGTCCCTCTTCTATGTGCTTGAGCCCTGTAGACATATGTGTGGGCAATTCTTGAGCACAGTTTTAAAAATCAACTCAGTTAACTGGTACAACTGTCTTCATGTTCTTAAGGTGGGAAGATGAGGGCGAACATTGTGGCATATGTAAAGCCGCGATATGGGCGCTGGTTTGTATCCTGGCTGCTACACTTCTGATCCAGCTCTCTGCAATGGTCTGGAAAAGCAGCAGAAGATGGCCTAAGTGTTTGGGGCCCTGTGGGAGACCCAGATGAAGCTCCTGGCTTCCGCCTGGCTCAGCCCTCATCATTGTGGCCATCTAGGGAGTGAACCAGAAGATCACTCTGTCTCTCCCTCTCTCTGTAGCTCTGACTAAATAAATAAATAAATAAATCCTCTAAAAATGGTGGGAAGATGATAATGATGATTAAGTATTTCATATAGTAATAAAATCCAGTTAAGCAGACTTTTTAACTTTTGATTCAGGGTTACTTTATAAACGTTTATATGGATAAGACAAAGTGAAATCTACCCTGAGTGAGCACAAGATAATGCAAGAGACAGTGGAATATATCATGGCAGCTCAAATCAAGGTAAGTCATTAAATAAGATTCGAACTAAAACTGGACTGAAAGTATCTCACTTTAGACGACAAAAATGTCAAGGTTAAAGCTCAAATTCAATTTTTAGTCAGGTGTTGGCTAAACAAAACTTAAAAACATACACATATGTATATGTATATATACAAATAAGCATATGTATATGTCTATCATACGCACAAAAGAATGTAGGAAAAAAGGAATTTTAAGTAAGGAAGGAATGAGGGAGTTAAAGAATCACTATGTATTTACATCAACTTGCCAAGTTAATCAAATGTCCATTGAAAGCATGGTCTTTTTATCAACCCAAATTCATCTAACTTAGCTTTAAATTATCTTACTGAACTCAGTGCTAGATCACTTTATAAGTCTCCTAGTTACAGAAAACATATCATCAGAGGGTCACTTAAATATCACTTTGTAATGGCAAAACTTTATCAAATATGGTGAACAAAAAGGGAAACAGAATTTCTGTCACATTATGCTGGGAAGCACAGAAGACAATCATTTTTTCGTAATGAGCAAAGTATCACAACTGAAATTTGCCAAGTCTTCAAAATTAAACGAAGATTCTGATGAAAGCAATGTAGTGCGACTGTTTCCTAATGTATTCTGCGCTCCCCCCTCCCCAAGTAATTCTACTCTCCACAATTCCTGTGGGAGAGGATGACAACGCATCATCACGCTAATACTTTCTTCGTTCTACTGCTCCAAAGAACGCGGTTAGGCTACCACAGCCGTGACACAGCTTTCCCCCATCCAAGGACGTCCTGTGCCTGGCAGGCCAAATGCTCCTGGGGAAGACCGCTGCGGCGGTCAATGTGGCCACCTGTCCCCCTCTGCAGGCGGGTGGCTCTGCACGGATGCTCCAGAGTTCTAGGTCCCTTTTTGGGAAGAGTCCCCCATTAGTACGTGACCCAGCTCCACCACCAGCACTGAGATAGCTAAACTCGGCCGCGGGGGTCGCGTGAGGCCGAGGTTCCTGAGGCCTGGGAGGGGCAGCCCCAGCGTGGCAGGTCGCGCTCTGGCCTCCCTCCGGTGCCCGGAGCCCGGGGCCCAGGGCCGCAAGAGGCGAGAGATGGGCACGCGACACGAAGTACCCCCAGCCCTGGATTCCCGCCCCAGCTCTGCGCCTCCTCAAACGTCACCCCAGGCTCACCAAAAAGCGCGTCGAGCTGGTGCCCTGGTCCACTGCCCCCACCAACGGCCCCAAAATTGCTTTCTTCGTGGCTGCCATGAAACCAGCTTCAGGTCGGCGGGCGAGCACGGCCGGTTTCCCGGGTGACGGCGGCGGACGGGGGAGGAGCTGGCGGTGAGTCCGGCGGGCCAGACAGCGCGAGTCCGCTGAAAGCTCAGACCGCGCTTAAGGCGGCCCCTTTACCCGCGCGGAACCTTCTCACCCCGCCCCTCCGGACTAAGTCCCTCCCCCCGTTGCGTTCCCCACGACTTCGGGGGCGTGGCGAGGGGGGGCGCTGTCTGCCGGGTCAGCCAATTAGCGAAGGCGGAAAGGGGTTGCAGGTTCGGACAATCAGAAGGCAGTGAGACGTCACGGGGGCGGGGCCTGGGCGCGGCGGAGGCGTTGGCCCGCGCTGCAGGTCACGTGGGCGGAGCCGACGGGCCTCAGGCGGAGCCAGCCTGCTGCAACGTCGGGGGCGGAGGCGGGTGCTGCCCACTGGCAAGGGAGCGCCACTGGCCCGCGGGAAGAGTACACCTCCATCCGCGCCCTGGGCTCGCGCCCGCGGATTCCTCCCAAAGTGCAGAACTGCTTATTCCCTGTGGTGGGCTGAGCAGAGCACCTCGTGGGTCGCTGTGCGGACCCACTCGTCCTGGCCTTCCCGCGCTTCCCACGCTCCTCCCACCTCTTCCGCACTTGGCTCCTAATAATGCTAATAATAATCTGGTCTGTAAGGATTGACCCACATGGGGTCACCTCAGGGAGCAGCGCGAATCCCTTTCTTTTATAGGCTTTTCAGGGAGAAGGAAGCGGAAGTTCTTTCGGTTTAGGATTGAAGGAAAGCACTCAATGAACCTCAAATCGCTCAATTGACCATCCAGGCAGAAGGCACTCAGCACCTACTCGTCCTGACTCGCCCTTGCTCCTCTTTGCCCTCACGCTGGTGTCCCCTCCCCCACACGCCATTTCCTCCCTCCATTAAAAGCTCCGGGCGCAGAGATAAAGAAACGGGAACTCTTCCCTGACCTTGAACTTCCTGTGTTATAGGGGCTTTCAAATTTTGGAGAAGACCCACATTGTGAAACAGTTTACAAAACAACTTATGGGACATGATGCACAGTTTTTATATATGAACACATAAAATATTTATATCTAAACATATATTTGAACGTTTCCAAAACAGTGCTTATCTATTTTTTCTAAGCTGTCTGTATTCTAAGGCATGTCGATTTTTAAAATTCTGGTTGAAAATCACTAAACTGGGGTCAGCGATGTGGCATAGCGGGTAGCCGCCTGTGGTGCTGGCATCTAATGTGGGGTACAGGTTCGATTCCCAGCTGCTCCACTTCGGATTCCAATCCAGCTCCCTGATAATGCACCTGGGAAAGCAGTAGAAGATGGTCCAAGTCCTTGGGTCCCTGCACCCACGTGGGAGACCGGGAAGATGCTCCTGGCTCCTTGGTCGGATGGGCCCAGCTCCAGCCTTTGTGGCCATTTGGGGAGTGAACCAGCAGATCCAAGATTTCTCTCTGTGTGCCACCCCCAACTCTGCCTTTCAAAGAAATAATCTTTTTTAAAAATCACTAAGTTTACTTTGTAAATAACCATGCTATCAATTTCAAAAGCACTCTACTATTCCCCACTCTTTAATTACTCCCTTTCTCAAATCTCTCATTGGTTGGAACATCATTTCTGTGTGTGTCTTGATCTTGCCTTATTCTCCACTATTTCACTTGTCCATCTCTGTATATAGTTTTACCACACTTCCCCTGGAAACAAATTTTCCTATACTGTTTGGAGATTAGATTCTGGTGTCCCAGATAAGGCTGGTTTATGGAGAGGCTGACCTTTATAATTATTGATAAACTGACTTGCTCTAATATAGGAGTGCAGTTGAGTCAGTACTTCTGTATTTCCTGGAAGAGGGAAAGAAACAGGCATATAGGCAAATGTTAAGGATCTAGGCCAACTTATCTCTTAACATCTGTGAAAGGCATTAATTGAGATAAGAATTTCCTTGGTTCTGGAAGGCAGTAAAAACAAAGCCAAAAAAATCTACCATGTAGATCCATTAAAAAAATGCTAACCATGTTTGAACTTTCACACACCTTTGACTGTCAGATTCTAACTACACCAAATTACTTTTTTTAGCAGCACAGTGGGATCAGAATTCAGGCATTTCAGAAAAAGTAGGGCTAGATGTACATGAGAGTCTTAAATCTATTGATCCAGTGGTTCCTACAACAGTTTGTATTTCACATCCTCATTCCTTTCACCAAACAAAACTGAAAACGCAAAAAAACTGCTTGAGCTTTCAGGAGTCACACACCTCTAAGCGCCTTCTTAGAGACTAGGGAAGGACAGAGGAAGGGTCCCACATGGGAGAGTCCAGCTCAGTCTACCTCAAATCCATACCCTAAATATTTACTCTGAACTCTCACAGGTCTATTTTCTCTTACCCTTGTAGATTTACTCCCTGTTCCTTGCCCTTCCTCACCCCTTCAAGTCCTAGCCACATTGTGAAAACTCTGTATGAATATAGAAATCAACCCATTCAATATTTAGATTCCATTTTTCTTCCTATCACTGAGAAAGAGTTGGAAGTAACAATGAGGGCATCCACAGTCTGGAGAGACTAAGTGACATACGGGACTAGTGCCCCCTTTACAGCAGCCTGAGGGAGTGGAAGGTGAAAGAAACTAGGAAGGAAAACAGATAAAAAGAAAGAAAAGAGGATGTTGGTCCACCTTGGTTTCCCTACCTCCCACCTCAGATCTGATGGCAAAGTAGTAGAAGAAACACTGACTGGAAAGGTAAAGACCTTGGTCTGATTTTGGCCCTGCTATTCAGCACTTAATTTTTACAAATGTGAGTAACTTATTTCCTCCCATGGTTTCTTTTTGCTCGTTTGTAAAATAGAGAAAATGTCACTGACACTGACGCTGACGGTTAATGCGACACTGAAATGATGTAATGACTAGGAAAAGCACTGTACAAGCCGAAGTTAATCATGAAAGGCCAAGATGCAGTCTCACTGTTGTGTTTGTTTCTACCAAAGAAACCCAGAGGTGAAAACTAAGCTCTTTCATGCAAATGATTTAAATAGCTTGAGTCATCTAAAGCTACTGTGGTGATTTTTGACTGGTAAAGCAGGAAATCAAAGTTCAACCCCTTTTAGAGAATCTCTAGGCGTTTCACTTATTTCTCCTGTTTTTTTTCCTATTCTTTGTTAACTTACACAGAATTTACATAACCAGAAATTCTACATTTCCCTAGATAGTCTTTTTTTCCACCCAATAAGACTTCTTGTCTTAATGTTTGCCTGAGAAGAAGCCCTTATTGTTTCTGGTCTAGTCTATTTTTTGTAAAGATGTTCTTCCCTCTCTCTCTTTGTTTAAGTATTTATTTCTGTATATGAAAGGCAGAGTTACAGAAAAAGAAGAGACATGGAGATCTTCCATCCACTGGTTCGCTTCCCAAATGGCTGCAATGGCTGGTGCAAGGTCGATCAGGAGCCAGGAGCTAGGAGCTTCTTCTGGGTCTCCCACATGGATACAGGGCCCCAAGTACTTGGACAATCCTCTGCTGCTTTCCCAGGCTCATTAGTAGGGAGTTGGATTGGAAGTGGAGCTGGCAGGGATCAAACCGGTGCCCATATGGGATGCTGACACCGTAGGCAATAGCTTTACCCACTATGCCACAGCACCAGCCCCAAGTCTAATCTATTAGTAAAGCTAGCATTTCCTCATTTTCTTCTTGCTATTATAATGATTACATGAATATGTACTGACATGGATACAGAAAGTATAAAATGAGAAATTAATACTAAAAGGATTACAATAAAAAGCATGCACACTTTGTTATTTTATGACACTGGCATGATGTAACCAGATATATGAAATTATTTGCCTAATTCCTGAGGGAATTAATGACAGATTAGGCATTTAAATATACTTGATTAAAAAAAACCCTAGTATTTAATATTGATATTTAATAAACCTGATAAAAATTCTCTTCCCCCTGCAAATTGGAAAATCCACTCACATGCATATTAATAATGTAAGTGTGTGTCTCTTTATGCAATGTTGTGATTGTAATAGGGTTAGGATGTAGCAGTGAATCTCAAACTTCACCTGCATCAGAACCACCTAGTGGATTTGTTTATTCTGGGCCTCAGCTCCAGAATTTTTTGTTTAGAATAGGTGAGTTCTGATCACTCACATTTCTAATAAGTACCCATGTGATGCTGATACTTCTGGTACAGGGGGCCACACTTTGAGAATCACTGGGCTATGCTTATGCTGGAACCTGAAGTCTTCTGGAGTTTGACAAAGCTGCAGCAAAACCATGAGGTAGAGGAACTCAGTTTCATGAGTTGCTAGTGCCCGTTTCTCTCAAATCATAGATCTCTGCTAACAATCAAGTAGTTCACTTAAAGTACTGGTAGATAAAGGCTTGCTGCTAAGTTCTCAAACATTAGTTTATGTCAGAATCGCCTAGGGTGCTTGTAAAGGATGCAGTTTCCTGACCACTGTCTCCTATCCTGATACTCCCTAAATGTAATGAGCTGGATTCCTTGATGCCAGGGACTTTGTCCTGATAATTATTTTATTCAGATAGTCTGTATATTCTATACATGATTGTTGAAGGAATGAAAATCGTGGACTGCTACATAGGTGACCATTGATGACTCATGGCATCTACTAATAATACTGTTCTGTTGTGCCCTCCCATGTCGACCCTGGGCTTGGGCTGTGTGACTTGCGTGAGTAATGGGATGTTAGCAAGCATGATTCAAGTGGAGATTTGATAGGCAAATGTGCAGAAGTGAGCCTTTCCCACTAGGAGCCCAGCTGCCATGCTATAAGAAAGGGCAATCTAACCTGCTAGCAGATGAGAGGCCATGCAGAGAACTAAAGCACCCCAGCTGACCACCAACAACTTGAAGATATGTGAAATAAATCTTGAATATTTCAGCCCCAGCTGAGCTCTCCACTGATTATAGCCATGGAGCAAGTGGCCCAATAGAATCAATGACCTTAGTCAACATCACCTACAATATCAACAACAACAACAAAAAGCACAGCTGAGCCAATTAGTCCACATTCATGAGAAATAGTAAACAGTTGTTGCACTTAGCCATCTAGTTTTGGTGTTTTTTTTTTTTTCCCCAATTTTATTTGAAAGGCACAGAGATTTTTTTCCATCCACTGGTTCACTCCCCACATATCTGCTAAA